CCGCAGCCCGGGCACCCCCAGCGCCGTCTGTGTCCGAGACCTTCCACCGAAGAGAGCTGGCGGGGACAGCCGCTCGGCGGCCACGGAAGAGGCAGAGCCAACCCGATCGCTGCACACGCACCTGGCCCCGCTCGTCCTTCAGCCCCCGCCAGGTCTGGCACCGTCAGCTCCCGCGGCCCGAGGGACCCTGCGCGACAGCCGAACGGCACCGAGCCTGTGCTGCCCTGCAGCTCCAGCATGGGAGTCTGCCAGTCCTAACCAATGGCTGCTGCTAATGATACACTTATCAGCTAACCACCTCATCATCTGCTAACGACAGCATCATCACAGTTTGCAAGAATTTGAGTAATGCTTTAGGGCGGCCACTGCTTATGTCCCAACAGGATCAAGCACATTAAAAAAAGCTTCCCACCTTCCCCACAGTGAAATTATGTGTTAGAAAATACATCAAAAGTCTTCTAGTGAAATGTGACTGTGAGTAAAAACCACATGTCCCCACAGGCACATGTAGGGACAAAGATTTGATGGCAATCCTTGTCACAAAGGCACACTGAGTATGAAAGCGGTATTTTAATGAGCTCCCAGAGCAGGCTGCAAACACCAGGGAAAAGCATTCCTTGTTCAGATCTCACGCCTTTCTAGCACCTGGACAAGCATTGCTACCAGTAACTCTCAGGATGGTATTGCACAAGGAACTGCTCAAGTGTTTTGCAACTGTCCACTCATTTTGGTCTCTAAAACCCCCTGTAAGGTTTTTTCAAATTATGGCCTTACTATTTTGCATCATCTGACCTTGTCCTGTCTAAACATTAAAAATCAAAACATTCTATCCCCACTGTACTTGCAGAAAGCAACAAGGCACAGTTTTAAATCATTGAATATTGACTCATTTTATTAGTCACTTCATAATTTGTTTCAACCAAAAGACAATACACACAGCAGAAGTCTAATGCATCCCATATAAATGTTTACATCCGTTAAGCTCCTCACTCACCTATGACTCGGCATTAACTTAAAATTTTCACATCTCAAAAATAGGTCTCCAGAATTTTGAGTGCCACCAGGTGCCCTGCTCAAATGACACCTTTTTTACTTTAAATTTGGTTGGGTTTGTTGGGGGCGTTCTATTCTTGTAGTTTTTCATTCACCTTTTTTTTCCTCTATACTGTCAAAGAGGAAGGATGGGGATCTATGTAAAATTTAAATTACAGTATCAGGAAAGAAAAAGGAATATACAGGAATAGAGTGAAAGTTCAAAGGGAAGCAGTCCAGCAGCTCCTTCCCTAACAGCCTCCAAGTAGAAAATGAACACATAAAAGTGCACCAGTGTCACTGCTGCCACTGCTCACAGCCAGTACCAGCCTTAGGGAAGGCACTGGCAGGTTTCCCAGCTGTTTCAGTATCTTTTGAGTTAGAGATCCAAGGCAGTCCCCTCACTGCTATTGCTTCAATAGGTTGTTCAAGGACATGTTTTGTGCCATCAACACCTGGACAAAGTCAACTTTTGGGACTTTCCCATGTCTCCTCCCACTTCCGACCCATTAGGGTCACTACTGTTTCTGTCATTTTCCAAGTGAATGAATTTTGAGTCAAAAAACCAGACATCCAATGTCTCCCACTTCCGAAGCCTTCCATGCAGATACTAGTAAGATTAGCCACGAAGTCCGTATCTTGCTGCCTTTATATCCCCCTTACACTGAAGCAAGGAAAACGCTGCCAAGACCTGTAAGAATTGTTGCATTCAACTGGCAGGAAGAGGACTCAGCCTATGCTTAGAGTGCCTCAGACGCACGAGTWCTCTCCAGAGAACCACAGCAGCAGCACAGAGCTTGAAAAGCACATGGGGGTCAAGGAGCAATCAGCATTATCTGGTACTGGAGACAGGGGAAGGTGTGAAGCCTGGCCTTCGTTCTTATGTAATGTCAGCATCCATCCCTTAGTGAGGAGGGGAGAGCTCCAAGGACAACTGCAATGTTTGGCTGTTACAAAGGAGTACTTCATAGCCAAGAGATGGCTTCCTGCAAAACATTTCAGGTGTACGCATCACCTCATCCACCTTGACTCAAATACAAAACAAAATGCCCATTTCCCCAGACATGGTGCAAGGGTGGCTAAAGGAGCCAAGAACAGAAAGAATTCACCCTGCAAGCTTACCAGAGACTGAGAGCAAACCCCAGCTGCTCTAGGGGACAGAAAACAAGCACGACAAGAGGGACAATGTACACTGTTCCCAACTCTGCTGCAGCAAACTGGCCAGRTGAGAGACCATTTTTTTCTTCCTTCCCATCTAATTTCCTGCACCAGTGCTCTTTCCCAACAAAACCAAAGGGAGAGTGAAGCATGCTGTCTTTCAGTACGAGTGACCGTGTACAACTCTGTGAAGAAAAYGGGAGAGCTTATGAGAAGTTCAGGAACCAAGGCAAAGGCTTCCCATTAGCTTTTTACCTGGGACTCCCTCAGAGCTCACTGGGGTATGAATTTAACATGCTTAGTCTTCCACATTAAGCTTGAGCTAGTGGGGCAATGAATAGCCACAACCTGCAGTGAAARTAAGCTAAATGCTCAGCACCAGAAATGGAGCGTGATTCAGCCATTTCCTCCAAAACTGCCTATTCCATGATGCTTCTAGCGAAGCACAGGATCTGTCTTAGCACTGATAGGGTCGTGCCTTGGCTATGAAAACCCAAAGTTAATTTTAAGGAAATCATACATTGTTCTTCTGGAATTTGTAAGTGCTGATGCCAGTTCCGGTAAAAAAAAATCTCTTTGCTAAGAGGCCCAAACCAGTTCAATCTGTAAGGTAGCAAAAATGCTCTCCAAGAGAAGATAAATTTACTTCACTACACATGGACCAGCACTTAAACCAGTGACAATCAGTCCTGCATGATATTGCTTAATGCAGTGAAGACCAAAGCAGACTGAAAACTTAGTGGCCTCCCAATTCAAGGGCAGAACCGGCTTCAGTTTTCCCTAAATASACCGTGCATCACTCTTCCAACATTTGGGCAAATACTGAAGCCCAGTGTTAGCACTGCTGTGGATACAAAAAGCTATGTCTAAGCTTGCCGTCAGAGCATTCAGTGATCTGGAAAGCCCTAGAACAGAACTCAAGCAGAAGTGCCCAACCTTCAGCTTACCAGCACCCTCACAAATGGAGATCTAAGAGATATCCTGAAGAGCACTGAACATCCAAACAGTTTGTCCCACTGTGTTTATGTCTGTCCTACATGTCACCTTCGAGAGACCACCTAGAACTGAACATCTCCCAGGAGTTCCCACAGGGACATCCCTGAACACAGCTTTCTGTGAGCTCAGAAGGGTACTGGACCTCACATCTTTGGATCCAAATAATCAAACTGGCTTCCTTCAAAACAGTTTAGTTACTYTCAGTCTGAATCTGAACTGGCCCATTATTCTGAAAGGGGAGCAAGGAGCAAGGATCAACTAAGCAAAAAAATGGGAAAAGGTCTCTTTAAACTGCATGGTTTTTATTTCAGTGCCAATATTACAGATACAACACAAATATCCCAGTCAGAAGTAATTCAAATGGAACCCAGGGGGTCTACAACAGGCTCTGGAAATTAAACTGGTGAGAAGTTCCGGAATAACCAGGAAGAGCAACTTTGCAGCATAGTCTGTGATGAGTCTCCTGGCAGGAGCAAAGACCTTGCCCAAAAACTGAATGTCTTTTCTACCATAAACCACAACTAACAGGTTGAAAGATTTTGAAACTATCGTGGTAGAAAACCAGCTGCTCCTTTTATCTCTACATCTGTCATACCTCACTTTCTGCGGAAGCTACAGAAGACTATGAATCTGCATGGCTGTAGCTACTGATGGAAAGAAAGAAAATTCCAGTATAAGGTCTTAATTTCCAAGTACAGCACCAAAGTAATTTTCCCAACTCTTACCAGCACCTGCACTGTGTCCCAGGTTTGCAGATGAACTCCAAAGGCCTCACTTGCTCTTGGTATGCATCACATAACTAAGAGGTGAGTGTATACAATAATGCACTGAATAGGTCATAAGAAGCCTCCAGCCCCTTTAAGACCTAAGGGATACAAGAAGAAAGAGGCAGGGCAGCCTGACATTACCCAAGACCCCATCTGAGTCCCAGATGAAAATACCTGAAGGAATCCACCTAGAAATGAATGACAACACGCCTTACCCACTCCAGGGAAAAAAAAGACAGCAGAAAGAAGGGGAAACTGCTCACTTGCTGCAGAGAGAAGAAAGCTTCCCTGCTAGAAATTCCAGACTTCTCTTCCAACCAGGCTGTGTTTCTTTTTTTTTTTTTTTTTAAGGGGGGGTGGGGAAGCGGAGAAGGGAATGTTGCTTCTGGCTGTGAATGCATGTGTGAGAGAGTGCACAGTAGCCTCCACAAGCTGCCAGCCTCATCAGCAGAGGAGAGGAGATTAGTCTTAACAGATATGCTTCAAAGTCAGCAATCATTTCAGGAAAATTCCTCCTCATCAGCCGGTTTCATTTGTTCCCCATGCCCACGGTGCAGTTTGGGGGATTGCCAAGGATTACAACCTTCTTCCCAGAGTTTTTTTGATTGGGTGGGATGAGAATAAGAATGGTGCCAGAGCCTCACTGCCAAGACTGAGGGGGGAAGTT